AGTACCTGAACAGGTGTTCGCCCATGCTGTTTAGGATCACCTCGTCATCAGGGAAAAGTTCCAGAGCTTGTTCATAGCAATCAAAAAGATACTGAATGCGGCCCAGAGAGTCCAGTTCTTCTGCCCATTTGAAGAGAGTGAACCTGAAAGACTCCTAAAGAGAGAGAGAGATTTCAATGAATATCTTTGGATTTATTTATTTATTGATAAGATCATTGCTGTTAGGCCCAGTAATCATCTCTTCCTCTTTTTTTATAGCCTTTAAAGGGAAAAGTTAAACCATTCTCTAGCTCTTCGGTTGTAATATGATCCTCTTCACTGATAAAAGCAGCTGAACGTTTCCCCTCCTGTAGTAGCTATGGTTTCTTACTTGCCCACAGGCTGTATCCCTTTGTATTTTAAGCATGCTCCCTTCCAGCTCACTTTTCAGAGAAACCTAACTTAGAACCTCCTGTGCTCAGGAACTATGCATCTATATCCAAACTCACTTATTTGTCAAACATTTTGTACGCATTAAAGAAGCACAGTATAAAAACAAGCTCCAGTTTGGGTTTCACCAAAAGATCTCAACTCAGACTGCAATTCTAAAGCTTCAATTCGTCTTTGAATGACATCGGTTCTGTGACACTGTAGATCATTATATCCATAGAGGTCATGTGACTAGGTCAGTACTTCTGGCACACCATTAGATTAGAGCTTATCCCTTAAACAAAAGTTTCACCATCTCTGTAACAGTCCTCGAGGTCTAATTTCCACTGCAGTCTTCTGGGGCTTGTGTAGGGTTTGGTTCTAGCACCCCTATTACTCTCTAAGTGCTCGCAGCTAAAGCATAAATACCATTTATCCACAGATCATATTCAGATTTTTTTCTCTGCCTTTTGTTGTCTGAAACCAGATTTTGCTCAATTTCAGTGCTCAGTGCTCCTCAAGGATCAGTCCCAGTCTTTATCTATTGTCTGGGATAATTCTAATTAGTCTTTGTCACTGACACCCATATTTTGTTTTGTTTGACTTCAAGTAGATGACCTGTGATGTGCTTTAACATTACATGAAACTGATGACTTACTAGACCACGCAGATGGTTTCACATCACACTTCTATTTATGTCTCTTCGCCGGCTCTCTGCTCAGCATCAAATTTCTCATTCTTATGAGCAACATGTGCACCTAAATTCCTTCATCTTCACTTCACTCACTCACTGTCTGTCCCAGTGACACCATACTTTCCAAGTCTGGTTCTATGCACTGATTAGGGTATTTTAATTCATGTTTTTTACACTTTTTTCTTTTGTTTTTCTTTCATATTGCTTTTAATAACTGAGTTTTTTGTGATCCTCATTTCAGAAAAGCAGTGTATCAGGAAATCCTGCTCGCTTGCTGTAAAATTTGACCTCTGCGTGTATAATTGTGACTGGTTATCTGTGGACAGTGTTTGGCACCGAGTGCTGACGGACTGGTTTTCAGCATAGTGTAAACAGTAATTACCCTTGCAAAGTCCTTAAACACAGGTGCGAGGTTGAGCACCAGGAGGTAGTGTGCAAACGCAGTTCCATAATCTTGGTTGAACAAGCACTGCTGGGCACTTTCCAGAGAACTGGAGACCAGCTCGTTCCTGGCAGGATCGGCTCGGCGGCGCCTTCGAGTCCTCCTGCCGTGCTTCTGCCGTGTGCTGGTGTTAGGCATCCCTCAAATTAAGAGCAATAAATGGAAATTCTTTAAGAAAGATAATCATGATGCCATATGTACAATCTGAAGCCACTTTCAAGCCACCCCGCCCAAAGCACTACACCCAGAAAAGAAAAAGAAAAAACAAAGGAACTTTTCTATGTCGTGAAATAGAAGATAAATGCAGAAGATAAATACTGCATAAAAAAAAAACACAAATTAAAATGCTATATATTTAATCAGCCATATGAAAAAGAAAGCTTTAACAGAACTCTATGCAATCCTGTAAAAAAAACAATTTTCGCAGGAATTAAGAGCATAAGTAGCAGCCAGGTACAGCTAACTAAATACATTTGATTAACTGATCATCAGCAAGTGTGAGCGCCTCTATGAAAGCAGAGGTGTTGGCAGTGTGCTGATCTGGAGCATTCAGGTGTGTGTTAATACAGTGCCAGGGAAGAAAAGCGTCAACAATGAGCTCAGAGAAGCAACTGTTGGTGCCTACCAGTCTGGGAAGGATTACAAAGCCATTTCCAAACAATTTGAAGTCAATCCTTCTACAGTGAGAGAGATTATTCGTAAGTGGAAAACATTAAAGACAGACGCCAATCTTCCCAGTGAGATTTCATCCAAAGGTCATAGAAGGGGTGGGGTGTGTGTGTGTGTCGGGGGGGCACTCAGACTCTACAGGCCTCAGTTAGCATGTTAAAGTTCATAAAAGTGCAAGTGCAATTTGGAAAAAGCTTTAACAAGTGTGGCTTTTTTTTAGAAATGTTGTCAGGAGAAAGCCTCTTCTCTCTAAAAAAGAACAATGCTTAGCTTTGCAAAGACGCTTGTGAACAAACCACAAGACTGATGGAGCAATGTCCTCTGAAAAGACAAGATTAAAGTGCAGCTGTTTGGTGGAAGCCAAACACAGCATATCAATACAAACACCGCAAACCAACTGTCAAGCATGGTGGTGGAAGGGTGAAAAATTGGGTTTGATTTGCAGCCACAAGGCCCCAGTACAGTGAGTCAAACATGAACTCCATATACCACAGCATTCTACACTCAAATGTAAGGACATTAATCCAGCTGCTAAGGCTTGGTGCAATGTGGGTCATGGAACAGGACAATGATGCCAAGCACAGCAGCAAGTCTACAACAGAAAAAGAATCAAGTCGTTGCTATTTCAATCAAAGCCCAGATTTCAAGCCGGTGTTGTGCTAAAAAGTGATTGCCTGCCAAAAACTGATTTTCGGTATTTGCCAAAAACTGATTTTCGGTATTTGCCAAAAACTGATTGCTCGTATTTAAACTGCTATAAGTAACTTGTTGGGCTATAATATGTGAAACATATGTCAAATGCATCCCTCATGGATGACAAAGTCATATTGAGCCACAAACAACATTCGTGTAACAAGGTAGAAGCGCAATCAGTTTTTGGCAGTGACTTTTATATAACCTTTATTTATGCAGTTAAAAAAATCTCATTAACATTAAAAATGTCTTTTGTAAGAGTAAGTTGGCCAAGAGGACAGCAAATGGCAGGCAAACCGGTGTTCAATCAGTCATGTGATAAAAAATTTTAAGTGGGGATTACAAGACGGAGTATAATGTCAAGTCGACAATAACACAGAGTAGTAAAGATGTTGAAAAAAAAACCTAGATAATTTTTATAATATATTATTATATATAAAACCCCTTTGTAAACGCTGTTAACCGAAGTCTATTTACCGACATACCTAAAGATGTTACACAGAAAAATTACACAGAAACATTGGAAATCAGTTTTTGGCACAACACCGGCTAAAACTCTGTGGCTGGACCTTTAGAGAGGTGTGCATAAACGAAAGCCTTCCAACCTCAATGAACTAGGGCAACTTTATAAAGTTCCTCGACAATGCGAGTCTGAATGATACAGAAACCATTACTCCAGGTTATTGCTCCTGAATCCGAGGGTGCAGACCTGTGAAAACTTTCTTTAATGATTGTATATCGTACCTTTCATTTAGTGACACTTTTTAGATCTTCATTTTTTTCTCGAAATAGGCATGCCAAGTTATCATTATTATTGCCAACATAATATCGGCTTTATAACAGCTATTTAAAAATACTCTTTAACTTGCATCACTAACGTTCACTTACTGTATGCTGGTTTTGTCCACAGGCTGATGTTTAGAAATAAGCTACGGGGATGTTTAAGTGGTGCTGTTAATTTGGCAAACACACAAACGTTAACATTGAATTCACATCCAACACAGTCGTTAGCATGTTTGTTTGACAGTCCGTCTCCCAGCAGCACCCTGAAGATATTCTAAAAGTTGCTAACAAAAATTATCCGCAAAAAATGGACATAATCTCATATGCAGGCTCTGTGTTTGCTTATTCAAACGCCAAATTACATTTCTGCTATAAATCGTGCATCTACCGTTCAACAAGACAAGTGTCCGCGCGCTGAATAGCCCCGAAGGAAACATGTCGCCAACTAGACCAAGGTTCCGAAAGTGCAGCCGATACACTCGTTTAATTTGATTTGAAATTGCGAAGAGGACAAACGCACTGCAAAAAACGTAGTGAATTTTTTAATCAGTTTATTTGCAGACCGACGTACAAAAAGCGCGATTGCCTCGTACTTTATTCCCGCGGAACTCGTCACGGGCGGATTTTAAGGTAAAATCAAAGACCGTGACAAATCAAGATAATTCCCAGCCAGGAAAATCCCTATGGAAGTTCCCTCTTTGGGTCTTTCTGTAATTTGGCGATTTCGGTGAATTAACCCAACTGAAACCTTTTCTTTTACAATACGGGGAAAAATATAGTTATTGTTTTAAACAAGAATCGGGTAGTACAGACTTTAGTCAGGGCTGCTATCCAATTATCTATGTGGTTTGGGGTTAGACCACACTATCTTTTTTTTTTTTTTAATGTATTAAACTTACACATTTCCGACCGAAATACAAAGCCTATACAGTACTGTGTAAAAACCACTCCTCATTTCTTCATATTTTGCTGGGTGCAGGAATTTATTGAAACACGTGCAGACATACACAAAAACACAGTATATGAGGCAAAAACAGAGTTTGTAAAATTCCAACCAGGTTGAAAGTCAGTGTTTGGTATGACCACATTTATTCTTCAACACAGCTTAAACTCTCTTAGGCAAGTATTCTTATAGTTAGTCTTGTAAGGAATAGTTCTCCAGGCTTGTTAAAGGACATTCAAAACTCTTCTTTGGATGTTGGCTGCCCTTTGTTCTGTTCTCTGTCAGGATGATCCCAAACCTATTCAATAATATCGAGGTACGGCTCTGGGGAGGCCAGACCATGACTGATAGTGTTCCTGTGTGTTTTTCTATTTAGATGTCTCACAGCATTAGTATGAGAAATTGAGCTGTTGCCAATTAGATGTTTTCCACATGGTATTACATAGTAAATCAAAATCTGACTCTACTTTACTGTGTTCATAATTCCATCAGTTTTTACAGGATCCCCAAAACCACTGGCAGAAATGCAGCCCCAAACCATGACAGAGTCCCCACCGTGTTTTATCCTAAAGATGCCTCTAGACCTCTCCTGACCTTTTCTACACATATTGATGACCTGTTCAAATTTGGATTCATGACTCCACCAGACCTGTTGCTGCTGATCTTCAGTCAAGTCTTTGTGTAATTTAGCATTCTTCCTTAAGAAAATCTTCTGCCACTGATACCATTTTAGTAAACAGTAAATGGATCAACTAAATGGCCAGATGTCAAGTCTCTGATGGATCCCCCCCCCCCACACACTCATTAAGGGCATGGCTTTCATCTATTGATAATTTACAATAGCTCTTTTTTTAAAGCCTTCCACGTCTCCTTCTGTCATCCACTTGCACATTTTCTTTTAAATTTTTTCTTTTAAGTACGTTGGTGCAAAAACACTTTACTCCCAGTCAAGCTGTTTCCTATGGCTGCCCCGAGAACATTTTCGTTTTGTTTGTAATGGGTTGCTAGTAACAAAGATCCTATAGATACAAACTGAAAGTGGGCCTTTGTTATATTTGTGCAGACACAACACCTTTTGATCCCTTGTGTTAGATGTCTTTTATAGGCTTGAATGACTCAGGTCACTCTTGAATGGCTTAAAAAATATTTTCTGAAAATGGTCAGGTACAAGGACTGCAGTGAAAAAACTTGAAAAAACCTGCAGACCTATGGCATAAAACCAGCAAAAAAAATAAATAAATCAATAAATAAGAGAAAATGTGTCCCCTTAGAATCAAACCATAAAGAAATTACAGTAAGGATGGCAATCCTTCAATCCTCAGCCCACACAGGACCAGAGGGGAGCTTTGATTTTCCAAAGAAAAACCTGTAAAGTTAGCACCGCCTGATTCTCCAGAGCAAAACAACCTTTCAGCCACGTTATAGTATACTACTATTCCTTTCAGTTAAATAAAACCTACAATTACCCCCATTGTTCCCACCACAAAACGAAATCAACGGTCATTGGGCACGCGAAGAAACGACGGCGGAAGTATCCTGACTAAGCTATCTGGCGCAAACCTTTGCTGGCAGAAGTTTGCAACACGCACGCAGATGTCAGTAGCGGAGTTTCTCAATCTGTCACTTTAGCTAGGTGGAGTACATTTGATGGAGGAAGGAAAAAATTGGACACAGCACACTCTGACTTTTTGACCACTGGTGTCAACCGACTTCCGATGAATGCTTCAGGCGATATCGTATCTTTATCACTTCTTAACCGTTACACTTGCTAGTCATTCTGGTTTTATTTGACAGCCGTGAAACAACACCCATGAGCCCGTGTCAGAAGTTACCATGCTAAACAACGTTAGCTGCTGCTGCTACTTCTTCACGTAGCTATGCTTTCTCAGCCCGACTCGAAGACTCCTAAAAAACGACCCGTCATTTAACAGCAGCGACTATTTATTTGCACGAATTGCAAACTGAACCTGGATTTGTTGTGCTTCTTTTTTTCCGTGTGTGAGTTTTCCGTTGTTTGAAAACGAAGCTATCAATCTGTCACAGCAATGGGACTACACCCGCTGGAATTTAGTGAGTGCTATCTGGACAGCCCGAGCTTCAGGGACAAAATAAAGTCACACGAAGCAGAGCTGGACAAAACTAACAGGTTTATCAAAGAGCTGTACAAAGATGGGAAGAACCTCATCAATGCAACCAAGCGTAAGTTTGACGTTTTTAATATTCAAATGGTGCAAGAAAATCAGTGAGTCACAGAAAAATCGAGCACTCAGCACTGATTATGTTATGAGCGAGGCTGTTGAGGTTAATTGAAACTAGGTGTGAGGAATATAATGGACATGTAGAGGAAAAACGTTTTTAGATCTGGTCTGTCAGTTTGGCTCAATTTGTCAACACTTTGCAGTGCCGGGCTTCAGTACAAATATTTCCTTAGACTTGGGGATGTGTACATGACTGAGAGTCCACTCCCTTCGCAGAGTGTAACGTTTGTATTTTAATTCATCAAAGTTTGCTCCAGACATATCGCCCGTGTTTTAAAAATAATGCTAATTAAACAAACAGGGGGAAAAAAAGATAAAAAATTAGCGATGAGACGAATAAAGCTGAGAAATAAGCAAAGACACTCGGGGAAAGCACCTGAAATACAAGAGAAGTGAAAAACGAAATCCTAATAAGAAACTGCAGAGCTTGTAGCGTCTCTGTTTATGAGGCGCTCGTTAGTAGCTGAAGGGTTATTGTAAGACGAGATAATGTGGGGGAAACAAATGTAAGTTTTTGTTTTATTTTATGGGGAAAGTTTTGAGTCGGTGTGAACCAGTGCTCTGGATTTTTTTTAATAACACCTTACACTATTTGTTCAGTCACACACCTCAGCTGGGTTAAAAATGATTACATTATCTCCTTGAACTCTAATCTCATGGGCTGGGCTTGTCTGTAGGTTGCCCTGTGCTTAACGCCAGGACTTAAACACTTATAAAACAGACTGCTTTGCCTTGCTGGAAATGCCATGAATCATTTCTAGTTTCTGAAACACTGTATCTGAAAGGTTTAAAATAATACCAATCCTATTTTAGTGAACTTTTTTATGCTGATGGGGGCTAAAATTTACCCTCAGGCTTGCTTTATTGTCTGTCTGTGCTGCTGGTTAGTGTCAGGTATGACTTTCATACTTGCTTCTAGAAAAGCCTAAAGTCTCCCAAAGCTCACATTTACTAGTGTGTTTTTTCATGCTGACTACACAGTGCACAAGCACTGCATGAGCAGACTTTGAGGCAAAGGGTTAATATTGTAAAGTATTAGCGTGTCACAAACATAAGATTATAAGTATATGAGTTTGGTTTAGTGTTTCCTACAGCAACAAAATATTTTGACTGATTTTCAAAACTGGCTCTCTGATTTTGAGCTTGATGTTTCTATTTATATCCTAAGCTTTTTTTTATTGGAAGGTCTAGGTGTGTGGTATGTGAGATACTTAAGTTTTCTTGCATGTACATGAAAACTGTACTCTTGATGCAAACAGTTTGTGGCGTTAAAGTTATCTTTGCATCTCGTCTTGAGATTCAGTCTTAGCCACACTCTAGCTTACAAAAAAGCCTTTGGCGCTTAAAATATTTTAACCTTTTATGTATTTTTAAATGCGTATGGATTGTCTTTTTATTTTAATTACGTTGCTTTAACATAAAGTTGAGGTGGTGCATTTTTTTAAAAATCTTTTCTTTTGGTTACAAAGGTGCATATTAACTGGTTGTTATGTGGTGTGTGCTTGTTTGTTCATTAGGTCACTTAATTTTTCTAATTAAAGCACATTTATGTGTGACTCAAAAATATGTATCACATCAAGTTGTTCATGTTGTAGATGTGTATTCTACATGGACTTAAAATCTGCAGTTCATAATTTCCCTTTCTTTTCCCCCAGAAATTTAAAAAACTTGTAGATTTACATGCAACAAAACAATTTTCATTTCTTTTTAGTTTTTAAATTTTTTTAACTTGAATTGTTTGTGGTTTAGTAATGATCCAAATATGTAAATAGGACCTTTAGCAAGCTATTAAATGCATACATTAAAGGCACAGAAGTCACCATATTTTGCTTTCTGACTGGGCGGGCCGCGCCCTAAGCCATGTGTGGCTGCATTGAGCGTGAGTTTTTCCCCTCACAACTGAGAGGTTTGCTGGACAAGGGCTCCGCGCACAATAGTGCATTATTTGCACTTTATGTATCAGAAACTATTCAATAAATTACATTTTTGGACACAGTTTTGAGAAATATTTGCAGATAGTAAAGTTTCATGTTGGAAAGTCCATTTTTAAAAATGTTTTTCTTGATTGTGTTATTACTTGGCTGCTTTTTTGTGCACAGCCGGGATTGTCGACCTGTTTCTTTGCCTTTTTGAATGTTTCCATGGTCTCATTGGAGCTCTTTGCTACTCTGACCCCCCTCATCATAGTGACTCCCTTGACACTTAAACTTTAAAACTTAACAGATAAACTTAAATTCTTTCAATCTGAGTAAAGATCTTAGGAGGATAGTTGTGTACCCTCTAAAAGGACATTTTGGTTAAAGTTGTCTAAACATGTTTCATCTATACAACTGTCACATTGATTGAACATGAGGAAACTGTCCTTATGTTATGTACGTTTAATAATGCCTGCTGTAATTTTTGTGACTTTCTCATGCCTTAGGCCAGAGTTATGGTAAACTGTGGACATGTACACGGACCCCTCAGCTAGGATTTTTACAATGCTACTTTTCAATCCTCTTGGAAAATGGGTCCATAGCTGGTGTCATTACAGTTGAGGGTGTGCAGATGTCAATACAGTCACATATGCCTCAGACCTTTGCAGATGCTCAAGGTGAAATGTTGGTAGTATTATTATTTTACTTGCACCAACAAAAAATTTGAATAGCCTCCGCAGTGTTGTGGTGACTCACTGGCAGTTGATGTGATGTTGGTGCACTGCTGTGTTGGTATAAACTGGCACAGTGACATAGTGTCTAGTTTCAGTATGGCATGTGGTATCTTGTATTTAGCATCGTATTTGACTGTAGTTTTTTTGCTTTGATTTAAAGTAGAGTCAGGATGGTAGCATATCACTGCTTTCACTAAGTCTGTGTTGGTGTTTTTAGAAAATGACAAGAAATAGGAAACCCTGGTCATGCTCTCCCAATGGGACTATTGCAAAATCTGTTTCAGGAAGGAAGTGATGGTTATGTTCTGACATTAATGAAGTTTGCTCAGCCTAATTCACTTGGCCTGTGCTGAAGCCTTTAATGGAAACTATTTTGTCAACAAAACTGTTTTTGGTGTATTTTTATCATTCTAATCAGGAGCCATTTACACTATTTGGTAGTGGCAGCAATAGAGCAATTTAAACATTATAGAGCTACTGCAGCAGATTGTTAGACATGGCTTGATTGCTTTAGATGTTATCTAGACTTAAAGCAGAACTTTTTGATTTCTATTTCTATTTTAGGCTGTTCTTTGTGCTGTGCTGAAGGTTAATTTAAAACAAAGCTAGTCTGTCCAGGGTGGAGTAGGCTTTCTTCTATTGGTGAACAACAGATGATCAAATTAAGCGTCATCAATTTCAGTAATTTATCATTGCCTCAAGTTTGATGGTTGTAGTTCTTTTTTTTCTTTTTTGTCTTAAGCAAAAGAATATTTTTGTTGTTAGGATTAAAAAAAAAAAAACAAGCGCCTGTTTTTATGCGTTGTCGTTAGCAACAGCGACGGTAAAACCATTGCGTGTCCGCTTGTTTATTTTCCACATAAACCTTTCACAATAAAGCTGAAGATCCTGTAGAGACTTTTCAAAATAAACTGAATCACGTGAAAGAGTATGCAGAGTGTTTACCAATGAGAAGCAAAAAAGAGCTGACAGGTGCTAAAAAATAAACCTTAGACTCATACGTTAGAACAGGCTTTTCCCCGCAGCACGCCGTGTAATAAATACTCACAAAGAAAACAGCGGCCGTTACAACTTGTGTCTAAAAATGTATAACACTCGACTCCACGTACACGATGCCCAGCTGGAAATACTTCCCGCAAGTCGAGCTGCCCGAGATTCACAGAATTTACAGAAAATGTTCAAGTTTTGTGATTTATATCGTTATCGGGACGATAGATGTCTTATATCTTATATCGGGATATGAGATTTTGGTCATATCACACAGCCCTACTCTGCAGCATGTTAAAGTTCATGGCAATACAATTAGGAAAAACATGAACACATTTGGCTTGTTTGGGAGAGTTGGCTGGAGAAAGTGTTTTCTTAGATTTGCAAAGAGGCATCTGAACAAACCCTAAGACTTCTGGAACAATGTCCGTTAGACAGATGAGACCTAAGTAGAAATGTTTGGCCGTAAGATACAACACAATGTTTGATGGAAACCAAGCACACCATGTCAGTACAAACACCTCATACCAACTGTCAAGCACGGTGGTAGAGGGGTATTGATTTGGGCCTGGGCACCTTGCAGTCACTGAGTTGACTACAAACTCCTCTGTATACCAAAGTATTGCAGAATGAAATGAGGCCATCTGTATGACAGCTAAAGGTTGGTCCAAATTTAGCTGTCAAACAGATGGCCTCATTTCATTTCAAGGTTGATTCAAATTGGGTTATGCCAAGCACAATGGTTAATCTGCAACAGAATGGCTGAAAAAGAAGAAAATCAGATTGTTGCAATGGCCAAGTCCTACACCTGAACTTGAATGAAATGGTGTGGTGGGACATTAAGAGAGATGTGCATTTACAAATGTCCACAAACCTTAATGTGCACAGTCTTAAAAGTCTATCTTACAATGATGTAAGAGACTGATGGCCATACAGAAAATGGTTACTTCAACATATTGTTGCCAAGGATGGTTGTACAAGCTAAACTCATAAGATTTAGAATAGAATAGAATTCAACTTTATTGTCATTGCACATGCACAGGGCAACGAAATGCAGTTTGCATCCATCCAGAAGTGCTTTAGCCATGATATAGATATATTACAATTTAATGAGTTTTAAGTAAACCTCACAATTCATATAGTCCTTTCAGGTTTCTGTCAAACTGTAAGTATGTGTCTGTTTAGTATAACTGAAAAAATAAAATAAATTATTGCAATTAATTGTAATTTAATGGGTTGTTATTGTAATGTCAGAACTGTCAGCTCAATAACTGAAGGTAGTAGAGTTTGATGGCCTAAAATGG